AATGAAAACATGATCATTGATAAGTATTAGTAACTGTGGGAATTCAACGAAATAATTTAATTGATATCAAAAGCGATATAAATACAGGATACAAGCGCTATAAAATAGAAAAGACATAACATAGAAATTTCTAGGATTAAATTAATTCCTAATAACTCCCTAGAAATAAAAGGTATTCATAAAAAGGAAATATATGAACTAGGAAATATCCGAGAAGGAAAGAAATAAATACTAATAATTTCTAACACTACCACTCAAGTTGAAACATAGATGTCAATCATGTTCAACTTGGATTCAAAGTCATCAAACAACGGATGAGAAAAATTCTTTGTGAGAATTTCAGCTAGTTGGCCTGTAGATGAGATTTCTCACACAAGCTTCCTCCTCCTGAATGAAAAAATCCCCCCCAAGAAGAGAAAAGGAAAAGAGAGAAAATAGACCAAGTGGATTGTTTATTGATAATTTCTTCACCAGAGAGTATGAATTCTAATCTTGAAAACAATTTGGTATATGATTCTTTTTTTTCAATTTTTTTGATGAGAGAGGATTCTAAGGTAGAACCTCGCGTTCCATACGATTCTCCTCATGATTTTTCTATTTTCTAATTGAGAACAAAATAAAAAATAAGTGGAACGATAACTCAAAATTGGCCAATTCGAAGGAAGGTTCGATTGATGCACTTGGAAAAAGAATCGTTGCTTACTTATACATATAGCTAGATCTTCTCTGCTAGCTGATGGGGCACACTAAAAACACTCGTTCAAAACATCCATCCACTCTTTTTTATTAGGGAAAGACAAAAGTTGACTGAGAATCCCACTTCTTTCTCTATTTCTATTCTAAAGTAAGTAGGAGCGACCCTCCCATCGAGGCCTCATTATACTTGCAAATTCAGGTCGGGTTGAAATGAAACATCCATTCAATTGTGCAAAAGACTAGATGCTTTTTAATACTCTAAAAAAAAGGTAGGCTTTGTTGGTAATGACAGGAGCAACCTAACTGACAAGAGCAGGGCTACCTCGGAATCAAGTTTCTCCTTGATAAAGTGATGGTCAATCTTCACATGCTTGGTACGATCTTGTTGGAACGATTTATGAACAATACTAATGATAATTTTATTATCACAAGACAGTTGCAGAGGAGCAGTGACCGACATACGTAACTCAATGAGCATAATGTGCAACGTGAGAACTTCACATCCTCAAAGCCATAGTGCAAAATTCGGATTCAACTCTACCAGGGACAATCATGGAATGTTTTTTATTTTCTTAAGTGACAAGATTCGTCCATATGAAGGAGCAATAACCCGAGGTAAATCGTTTATCATCTATCATTAACTGACCCAACCCAATTAACATATGTATAAACTGCAACAAAGCAGAAATTGTGATGAGTGAAAAAAAACATGATCCCGGTGTTTCTTTTAAGTAGTGGATGATCAATGAACTGCAGTGAGATGGTGCTCGTAGGGGTCATGCATAAACTAACGTACCCATAGGGTGACAAATGTCTGGGCGAGGTAGATGAGCACCTGCAAGACATTGATAGTAGGATTTGTTTACTGGAACAACCTTGGTAAATCCAATAATTTTTCATTTGGATGCATTAGGACAACAACCGGTTTGCAAAGAAGAAGGTTGGTAGGGTTGGTGTCGATCAATAAGTCCATCACATATTTGTGTTGAGAAAAACAAATACCCCTTGAGGACCAGGCTACTTCAATGCCTAACAAATAGAGGAGAGACCCCAAGTCTTTCATTTCAAAAGATGTTGTGGGGATACCTTTGAGTGACTCCAAGGTTGGCAAATTATTACCTGTGAGCACCATGTCTTCAACATGGACAATGAGGATGGCAATACAACCACTGGATGAATGCCGAAAAATTATTGTACGATCAACTTGGGCTTGAGTGAACCCACGACCCACTACCACCTGCGTGAACTTGCCGAATCAAACTCGTGGGGATTGTTTCCGTCCATAGAGGGACTTTTGCAATCAACACACTTGTCCACGTGAAGAAGCTGAATCAAATCCCGACAAGAGAAACGTATAAACCTCCTTAGTGAGATCGCCCTTAAGGAAAGCATGCTTGACGTTCAATTGCAGTAAGTGCCAATCCAGATTCACGACTAATGATAATAGGACCCAAATGGTATTAAATTTGGCAATCAAAGCAAATGTCTTTTCATAGTCAACTCCATAAGCTTGAAAATGTCTTTTGGCGAGCAACGATGTCTTGTTGCATTCAAAGGAACCATCTGAATTAAACTCGGCGTTGAAGATCCACCGACACCACCCCACTGCTTTCTTTTCTCGGGAAAGATCGATCACCGCCCAAATATAGTTGTGCCGAAGAACATTTATCTCATCCATGACAGCAGCCTTCTAGGACGGGTCAACCAAAACCGCTTCTATAGTGGATGAGAAACCATTATCTGTCACAGAAGTGGCAAATGCTTTGTAGTTTGGAGAAACGTTGTGGAATGAGACATATTTCGCCATAGGATACAGAGTTCCTGACGGTATATGTTTGCGTACCTTAATAGATAATAGACAAATTAACATCTTCACTCGAATCAGGGCGAACAAGGCATTTTTTTAGTGATGTCGGCTGGAGCAAATTCCAAGACCTACAGCGGAGCAGCGGGCTTAACGATATGGGCATGGGGATAAGTTTCACTAGAGGTTTTGGATGACGGGTATAGATCCAAATAGAGGGTGGTGGTGATCTTGGCCTGGCTAATAGCGAATCCAGTGGTCCTAAAGGTGTACTGAACATCGTGGTTGTAGGAGGATTGTCCAACAGAGTCGGAAGAAGAACAATGTTCAAATCAAGCTCCCCTCAATTGAGGCAATGTTAGGGAAGAAAGGTATATTTAAAAAAAAAAAAAGAGACGTTCACACTAAAATAGATTTTTTCATTAATGGTAGGATCCAGACAGAGGTAGTCTTTTTGAGTGGTGGAATAGCTAAGGAAAGCACATTTGATTAAGCAGGGATCCAGTTTATTATGAGTTGGGTTTGTGTTTCGAACAAAGCCCGTGTACCCAAATATTTTGGGGTCTAAAGTGGAGGACCGGTTGGTAGGAAAGCATGACATCAATACGTATAATGAGATTCAAAAATTGTGGATTTTTACGAAACTCTATTGATGAAGTAGTTAACGGTGAGGATTGCATCATTTTAAAATATTTTAGGGACATTTGTTTGAGACATAATTGAGCGAACAACTTTAAGAAGATGTCTATTTTTCCGCTCGACTACCCCATTTTGTTGAGGGATATCCATATAGAAATTATAATGGAGGATGCCCTCTCACTAAGAACTCTCCCAAAATTCACAACCATTTTTCATTCAGAGTACTTGAATATTTGTTTTGAATTCAGTTAAAATGGAATGAAAAATTTTAAAAAAGGGCACAACTTCATATTTATTTTTTAAAATATAGACCCAAGACATCCAAGTGTGGTCATTAATTAAAGTAAAAATCAACTTTTACTGGTATAGCTTGTAGTTCAAAAGGGTCCCCATAAATCATTATGAATAAGTGAAAAAAAATGTACGGATGAGGTAGATATGACACGGGATGCTTAGCTAATTGACAAATTTTACAGTTTAAAAAATAATTAATTTTTATCATTAAACATCAAGGGGTACAAATGTTTTAAATAATGAAATTCGGATGACCTAAGAGACAATGTAGAAGCATAATATGACATACAGTAGAAAGAGAAAAATTATAACTATGAGACTAAGGGTCGGTGTCATCAATGTCATTTTCTTGGAAAAAATAGAACATGACTAATTGCTTAGCAATTCCCATCATCAGGGGAAAAATGAGCAATGTAACTTATTGGTCGACAATAGGTTACACTTAAGGAACGTATAGGTACAACCAACCCTTTATCTGCAATGGAATTACAGGAGCTGTCAGAAATTTTAATTGTATCTCGCTCGGAGCAAGGATAATACGTCGAGAAGAAATGAGAACTCGCGGTCATATGGTGTGTGGCACCTGAATCAATAATCCGTGGGCTAGAAGAATTAAAATCAACGAGTTTCATAGAGATGTTATCTTGGCGAACATGAGACGTTGATAGTCCAGAGTAGGGTTGACTAGACCCAAGCAACTTAATCAAGTGTTTCATATGACTTTTGATGAAGTCTGTCGATTCAGGGAAGGTTCGAGTAGGGGCTGATTGAATTGTTGCGGATTCTGAGGTCGTAGCGAGACCTTCAGTGGAAAATTTGGCCGACATCTTATTTGTGGGTTTTCCGTGGAGCTTCCAACACTTGTCACGGATTTGGTAGGGTTTAGGTCTAGTCACATGTGTAGTGAGTAGCTCGCGACGGCGTGGCAGAGTGTAGAGTGTTATTGGAGACCAAGCCTGAAGGCTCGACTGAAAGAATGGAGTTGTCGAGCATGACAAGTCTTCGACTTTCTTCGCGGCGAATTTCAGTGAATGCTGCCGGGTTTGAAGGAAGGGGATCGCAGCGTAGCCAAGTATACGACCGCGAACTTCATCAAGATTCTTGTTCAGACCTACTAGGAATTGGAACTCACAATCCTTTTTTAAAATTTTTTTGGAAGAGGTAAAGATCTTCCAGGACTTTAGACTGTTCTTGATTTCCAATTTTGCACTTTCAAAGCTTGGTTTCTATGAAGATTTACATACATACTACTAATTTCCTATGTATTTACACATATATCTCCTAAGGTTAAATTTTTACATACATGACACCTTACCTATGCGTGAAAAAGCGTATTTCATCTTTTAAAAATTACAATGGTGCTGTTTTTTTTATGTGATATGAAAGAAGTGGGTGGTATTATTGTAAAAAGTAAAGTTCTGGTGTTAGATATGCATGTAAATACATCGGAATTCAGTGTTATGTATGTAAATGCCCCTTCTTTCTATGCTATTGCTCAGAATTCATTAACTTTTCTTGGCCTTGGAACTTCCAAGAAATTTGCTTACATCTGTTTTTGATGATTTAGGATTTCTACGGTAACTATAAAATTGCATTAATTTGTTATTTGAGAAGACCTTAACGGTCTACTACTTGATCGAGCATGGGTGGATTTTGCTGCTGTCCATGTGAAGAAGACGAAGGATACATTCTTCCAAGCAATCCTATTTATAGGCACTGCATGTGTTTGAGATACTTTCTACACCAGCTCTTCAGTGGGGTAATAATTATTTGGAATATTTACATTGCATATCTAAAATCTGAACATTCATATTTGCATGCATACCACTCAAATTTTAACGTCAAATTAAATATATCGCCATAACTATCTTTTTAAAAGTAAATACAACTTTTCATGCATAGTGTTATGACACCAAGGTGTTATAATGTTAATATCAAATTTGCGTGTTAGATATGTAAATGGGTGGTTTTAATCATCTACAACGACGCTCCTTGTTATGCATCTCAGATCTTAATGCTTTTCTAAGAATGTATTTTCTGTTGATTTGCGAACTGGATTTAGAATTAGAATTTGGTAACAAGATTATAAAAGATGACAAATATTGGCAGAAATATGAGCTGCTGTTTGAATTTTTTTTCTCCTTTTAGAATGAGGTTTAATGTTTTCTTTCATGCGGTGCGGTTTACCTAGTTATATACAGTCAGCAGCAGCAATAAAATTTTTTTGGCAGACATCTGGATTGTTTTTCTCAATGGTAAAAAAAATCTATGGTTAACATTTTACCCCCAATTTTTTTTAGGAAGATTACATGCATACCATTCAATTCCTATGTATTTACATATCCAATACCTAAACTTCAATTTTTATATACACACCATACCACCTTATGCATGAAAAAGGTGTATTTCACTTTTATGCACTTTTTAAAGTTAAAATGGTGGTATTTTTTATGTGATATGAAAGATTTGGGTAATGGATATGTAAAAAACAAAGTCAGGTGTTGGATTTGTAAATAAATACATAAAAATTTATTGGTATGTATGTAAATGCTCCTTTTTTATCAATTTTGTTTTTTGGGTTAATGATTTTAATATCGGTCAAAACTTATAAATGGTTCTTTTTATGGATTCATGTGTCATTAGTGACTAAAATTATTGGAAGCTATTGCGAAGTAGGCCTTTTAGAAATGGTGTAGGTGTAATTATAGTTAATAATTTGAAAGATAATGTAAAAATTAATAGAATTGGAGATGGAATTATAGCTCTTAAGATTGTTGTTGACACTAAGATTTTTAATGATTTAAGTGCTTATGCTATTTAAATAGGTTTAGATATAGCTTTCAAATGAAATTCTGGAATGATCTAGAAAAATTAATACAAATGATACCTCTTGAAAAAGAATTTTATTAGAGGAGATTTAAATGGACTTGTTGGTAAAGTGGTAGACGATTTTAGAAATATTCATGGTGTCTATGGTTTTGGAACGACTAATGAAGAAGTTAAGAGTCATATTAGATTTTGCTTTTGCGTATGATTTTGTTATTGTTAATACCTTATTCAAGAAAAGAGATGAACATATTATTACTTATAAGAATAGATCTAATAAAACACAAATTGATTATTTTCTTATGAGAATAAGAGATCGTCGAGAATGTAAAGATAGTTCTGGATTTTAAGATGATGAGTTGTAAAATAAAACCATTGCCATAGAATTAGATGGGGGCACTTAGAAGATAAATAAAATTATTTTTATGAGTAAACTTCAAGATTTCGAGAATTGGAATGTTCATGAAATACAAATTTTATATGAGACAAAGTAGCAAACACTATTAAACAAGTGGCAAAAATGTATACATGGAGAATCAAAAGGAAAAATTTTTATAAATAAAAATAGTTGGTGGTGGAATAAAAATGTGCTAGAAAATATAAATGATAAAAAGTTATATTATAAAAATTAGTTTAAATCTAAAAGCTTACAGAACTAATAAAAATATGAAATGACTCGTAGGGAGTCTAAGAGAATAATTTGTGACGCTAAAAATTCTATTTTTAGTGTTCTTTATAATATATGCGATACTTTAAAGGGTGAAAAATATATGTATAAACTAGTTAAACAAAGAGAAGATAAAACTAAATATTTTGCTCAATCAAAGTGCATTAAAAATGAAAATCAAAAGGTAGTTTTCTTAAAAAAGGATATTCAACATAGGTGAGTGAGTAATTTTGATAAACTTTTCAATGAATTTTCTGAAAAAACGATCGATTTTAGTGATCTTAATAATGTTAGTAATAAAAAAATATTTTTTTTACCGCTGCATTAGTAAAAAAAAATTGAGATTTTAAAGAAACCAAGAATGGAAAGTCTGTAGGATCTTATGATATTCTAATTGAAGTGTGAAAATATTTAAGAGATTTGGGAGTTTCCTGGCTTACCAAACTCGTTAATATTATTTTAAAAACTAAAAAGATGTCTGAGGAGTGGGGGGGGGGGAAGAGAATTTTGGTTTGCATTTTTAAGAGCATTTTTAAGAATAAAGTAGATGCACAAAAGTGTGCAAATTATAAATGAATAAAGTTGACGTGTCATAGTTAAAAATTATCTGAGAGGGTAATTGAACATAGGTTAAGATGTATTATAAAGATTTCCCATAATCAGTTTGGATTAATGTCGGACAGGTCTACCATGGAAGCTATACATTTATGGAGAGGTTTGATGAAGAAGTACAAAGAGAATAAGGAGGATCTATATATTATTTTTATTTATTTTAGAAAAAACTTACAATAAGGTTCCAAGCGATATCCTTTGGAGCTTTCTAGAGAAGAAATGTGTTGATACAAATATTCAAGTCATTAAAGATATGCATACTAGAGCTTTTACTTGTGTTCGAACAGAAGGAGGATTGACCAAATATTTTTCTATTTTAGTTGGATTACATCAGGGATCTGCTTTAAGCCCGCATCTTTTTGCTTTTGTTATGAATGCTCTTATTGGACATTTACAGAAGCATGTACATTGGTGTATGTTTTTCGCTGATAATATACTTCTTGCGGATAAGATTAGAGAAATAATTCAGGAAAACCCTTAATTATGAAGGTCTACAATGGAGTCTAAAGGCCTCCATAACAATACCATTTTTTCTTTACTTTTAAGATGTGAAATAGACATTTTGATGCATAAAAAAGTGTTATATATGTAAAAATGGAAGTTGGGTGTTAAATATGTAAATTCATAGGAATTGAGTGCCATGCATGTAAAACTTAAAAAATAAAATTATGAAAAAGCTATTCCAAATGTGCCTTTAGGGTCTGCTTGGGATGGCTGTAGTTATCTATAAAATTAATTAATGTTTGTTATGGAAAATCAGATTTTCTGAAAGTTTTTACGAATCTCCTTCTCACCTTGGAAAATTTTCAAATCTACTAAAAAAGTTGTTATCAAACAAATGCGTGATAGCCGACTATTAACTAAATCTGTCTCAAATGCAATCTTTATCATATCTTAATGCGCATTTTATGATGCATCCATGATTGATAACTTGCTCAAGATCCAATTTAATCACGGGGCATTTACATGCATACCACACAATTCCTGTATAGTTACATATCTAAACATATAAACTTTTCTTTTGACATTGATGCCGCCCAAATCTTTCATATCACACAAAAAATACCTTCGTTATATCTTTTAATGTTTGAATTACAACTTTTCAGGCATAAGAAAGCGGCATATATATATATATATATATATA